TAAATGTGAGACATAAATATGTGGGGGAGGTTTATGCAGCAAAGGGAACTCAAAATGAGGCAGCTGTTACCTTCAATGTTTTAGATGTTTTTATGGGATTCTCTCTTAAATGAGTCTTGGGAAATGGTGTTAGTAGAGGCGAATATTATCTCCTTTGTGGATAATATCACACACTGTGGTTCACTGGAGTCCTTAAGCCGTAGAAATGGCATTGTAACCCTCCCTGGACTCATATTTTTGTTTGTTTTCAGACTGGTTCTATTTTTTGGTACTTTATGATTGTCAGGCAGTAAGCAGGCCTGGGTGTAGCTGTGAACCATTGAAACTACATGTTGCATTAGTTCAAAAATACATTTGATATGAGATATTTACGTGTGAAAAAATTGTTTATCTCAGGGTAAAAAAAACTTTTTCATAAAACAGTGTTTGCCTATTTTAGTATGTTATGAAACTATACAGCTAGCTTGCAGAGGAAACGCGCATACAGTGCTTTTTTATTCTAGCATGCGGGGATAAAACAGAATAGAGGACAATAGAAGAGTTGGAGGAAAGTGTGACATTTTATTTTCCAATATGCTTTTCTGGCATCTTTTGCAAACAGAATGGTGTGTCTGGTATCCAGAGCTGAAGAATAGGATTCTTGATTTAAGCCCAAACAGTTTCTGTTTGCTATTTCTTCTAGGTGTCAGTCACAGCAAGGGATGATGTACCTTTCTTTGGACCTGCTCTACCTGACCCTGCAATCTTCAAAAAGGTCAGTAAGCAAACAAAAAAAACATGTTTCCCTAGAGATACACCATACGTCCTTCCCCACTCTTCTCCAAATGTTGTTTTTTCTTTTCCTCAGGGCCCAGAGTTTCATGAGTTCCTCTTCACCAAGCTGATCAATGCAGAGTATGCCTGCTACAAGGCTGAGAAGTTTGCAAAGCTGGAGGTGAAAAGCACAATAAAGGAAACCTTGTGTCTTTGTATTTTGATTTATTATGTTTTTATGCATGTTGTTATGATCTTGTGTCCAACTGTTTGCATCTATCTGCATCCTACTGGCTTCATTAAAGTGAATTTTAAGATGCGCTGTCACTAAAACATTTGGTTTATTTGTTGCCAGGAGCGTACACGTTCAGCCCTGCTGGAAACATTATATGAAGAACTGCACATCAACAGTCAGTCCATGATGGGTCTGGGTGGGGAGGAAGATAAGCTGGAGAACGGAGGTGGTGGAGGAGGGGGCGGCTTCTTCGAGTCATTTAAGGTACATCATTATTTTCAAATTGATTGGGCGCACTGGTGATCTGCAAAACTGCACAAGCATGAGCAAGAATGGCGATGAGTGGAAAAACTTTTCGGATGTTTTCTTTTCTTTTTGTCCTCTCCTGTCTCTTGGCTGGGATTCTGGGTATTCACACATGAGAAAACAAAGCGTAGAAAATGTGCAGGATCTCAGAGGACTAGTCTATCCCATTTGCTGTCCTCACTTGGCTGTTAGTGCTGAACGCAGTGGGTTTTCACTTGGCGTAGTGATTTTTGGAATCTGCAAAGTGTCCCCTTGTGTATGCAAGACACTTCTCTACGTCCGAGAGTCCTCCATCACTGACCGCGGTGAAGCGGCGTCCGGCTGCTGAGGCATGGCAGCAGGAATTGTGAAAGTCTGTGGCTGATGAACGATTTAATGACCCTTCATTATGCAGCTTATGATGCAATTTGCACACCTCCCCTTGGGTAGCGTCCCATTAAGGTTTTTCTTTCCTCAATCCTTTTTCTTCTACCTCAGTCTCAGATGCTCTCAGTATTTCTGTAAGCCAGTTTTTTTTTCTTTAATACCTTTAAATCAAAGTTGTCAGGTGCTCTGTCTCTTTATTTATCTTCCCAACATCTGCAATTTTAAATCTGTAAAGATTTTCCAATCTTTAACTGTAGAGTAGGCTATGTTGCACTGTCCTGCTACCTTTTAATTTCTGGAGTCCTTGTCGTTCATCTCTCTCTATCTGTTTAAGTAACATACCTTTAATTCACCCTCTTCCTGTTACCTTAACTGCCGCTAAGAAGCACCACACACACACACACACACATACACCCCATACACACACACACAAATACCTGTCTGTGCACACTCCCATGTTTCTATAAATCACTTATTACTTTTCCTTCATCACTTTTACTTCATAACATTTATTTTTAATCCCATTTGACAATAGATCTAATAGACTGCACTGTATTAATAATAGAAAGCAACTGACATGAATTAAATATAGTTTTCGCCTAAACCGCCAGTAAAATAAAAAGATTATAGATTTTAGACATGTGGAAACCTTGAAATATGATATTCTCTAACAGCAAAAGTCTCACACCGAATGTTTTATAGATTGCATTTTATTTATTGTAATGTTTTCTGATGGGTTTAGGTCTGTTTTATCCACTGAGTAACGGTTTTCTGACACATTTTCATTGTTCTAATGGTCTTTGGAAAAGAAATTAGCTTACAGTTTTAGACTTTGTGCACAGGAACTTTCCAATTTAAAGGAATAGTACACCCAAAACATGATTAGCCTTCATTTTCTACTCACCCCCATGCTGAACAACACTCTGGAGTACTTTTTTGATATC